CCAACCTCGATTCCTAATTCCTTGGGGGCGAGGGGGAGGGGACTGTAACCTGTCGGTCTTCATCTGCCACCCAGTGGTCTACTGGCCAAATGACACCAAATTATTGAGCCAATTTGAAACATTTCAGAAAAGCAATTCAAAGTAAACCACCAACTACTTTAATCCACCACCTAATTAAATGTACCTAGGGGACTCATATTTTAAAAACTTGTTAAAAAATCAGGGGCACTTGGGTGGCTCAGTCGGTTGAGCGTCGGACTTCAGCTCAGGTCATGATCTCATGATTCATGAGTTCAAGCCCCCACATCGGGCTTACTGCTGTCAGCACAGAACCTGCTGGGGCGCCTGGGTGGCTCAGTCGGTTAAGCGTCCGACTTCGGCTCAGGTCATGATCTCACAGTCCGTGAGTTCGAGCCCACGTCAGGCTCTGTGCTGACAGCTCAGAGCCTGGAGCCTGCTTCGGATTCTGTGTCTCCCCTCTCTCTCTGACCCTCCCCCGTTCATGCTCTGTCTCTGTCTCAAAAATAAATAAACATTAAAAAAAAAAAAAAAACCTGCTTTGGATCCTCTGTCCCCTCTCTCTGCCTCTCCCCACACTGGCATTTCCCAAACATAAAATTAAAATTAAAAAAAAAAATTAAAAACCTGTTGAAAAATCAAATAATTATGTTGTGATATGAATAATAAATCCCGAATTCATCTTTGTAAATTAAGAAATACACATATTAATCAACAGTTTTTCAGATAACTTGTATAAATGAACTTTTACTGCCTGAAGACATTAATGAGACTCCATTACATAGCTTCAGCTGTTTAAACAAAAAGTCTACAAATATAGGTAAAATATTAAATTTTAAAATTGATTCACTGATTTAAACATGTATAATACAATAGTGGCATTTTATTTAACATTTATTTTTAAATTTTTCAATGTTTATCTCTGAGAGAGAGAGACAGAGTGTGAGCAGAGGAGGGGCAGAGATGGAGACACAGAATCCGAGGCAGGTTCCGGGCTATGAGCTGTCAGCAGAGCCCAACATAGGGCTCAAACCCACGAACCATGAGATCATGACTTGAGCTGAAGTCGGGCGCTTAACTGACTGAGCCACCCAGGCGCCCTTGTTTATTTATTTTGAGAGGAGAGGGGCAGAGAGAGAAGGTGAGAAAAAATGGCTCCACACTCAGCTCGGAGCCCAAAGTGATCATGAGATCATGACCTGAGTGGAAATCAAGAGTTGGACACTTAACCCACCCAGGTGCCCCAATAGTGGCATTTTAAAATGAAAATGAGCAATGCCCACTCCTTTGGCACAAAATCTTTTTTAAAGATATTCTCTTTCAACAACCACTACTCCACAACTGAAAGGCAGTAACACTTTGCAGTTATTCACATTTATTCATAAATTTCCCTCTTCTGAACTCTGAAAACATGTATCTCATAAACAGTTCTAAACACTAAAAGGAAGGAGAACACTTCTTTCATTGTAGGTGTGTCATTTTCCTGGGTGGTGATAACTATTTTAGACTACTGAGATGACAAAGACTTCCCCATCCCCTTTGCAAGATGTCCAGTGTGGTCCGCAGACATCACTACTGCTCCTGGGGTGGCTTGCTGAGGCCCCTGTTCAGCAGGGCCAGAAACATCCCCAGGCTCTTGGAGACTCACAGTGGGAAGAACCCTGGGCTCAAGGTCAGAAACTGTGGTACCCATTTAATAGCACATTGAGGACTCCTGCTTCATTCTTTCACGAGGTCCATCTTCCCACTGAGCCCATTTAAAAGAAACAAGTTCCAACTCTAAATTGCGTCAGTCTTGTTGAAAGTTCTTGAAGAAATGGTGACAAAGAGGGGAAACTGCATTATGCAATACATAGGTTCTAGATGTGTGGACTTCTCCTTAGAATCCCATTCATCGTGGCAAATGTCCCTCACATTCCCTTCTGTTGCAAAACCCCAACCTGCCTCTCTTCCACTCTTTTCCTTTCTTCTATGAATAGTTACATAGCCCTTCAGTTCTTCATCCCAGTGAATGGAGAGAGTTAGACGTTGTAGGGAGGCAGAGGAAAAGCCAGCGGATGACAGAAGCCAGAGAAGAGAAGCTTCAAGGAAAGAAAAGGAGGTGGTGAAGACTGTCACAGCTTTTGCCAAGTCAATTACCCCTTTATGGCCTGACTTTTTTCTCCCTCTTCCTTTCTCCACAACAGCAACCTCAGTAATGCACTAGTCCAAACACTGTAGTTCTCTACACTTATGCCTTGACTAAGATGATCATCCTCTCACTTAAACAGCTATCCCTCCAGACCAGGTTGGCCTTGAAGTCTAAGTAAGGTGTCTTAGCCTGCTCAAGCTGCTGTAAATACCAGACTGAGGGGCTTAAACAGGAGAAACCATTCTGTAAACTGGGAAGTCCGAGATCAAGAACGAACTGCAAGGTTTGGTTTCTGGTGAGCGCTCTCTTCCTGGCCTGCAGGCCATCTTCTCACTATGTCCTCACATAAAGCAAACTCTCTGCTGCCTTTCATTACAAAGACAGTAATCCTACAGAATTAAGGTCCCACTCTTATGACCTCATTTAACCTTAATCAGTTCCTTATTCCAACTGCAGTCACAGTGGGGGTTAAGGGGTCAACATATGAATTTGTAGGGGACACAATTGAGACCATAGCAGAAGGTAACAGCCATGAAGAAAAGTCACTTTCTCTAGTCACAGGGTAGCAAAGGCACACTTGCCCTCCCGTCCTCCCAAATAAACAATAGAGCTCAGGTTTTCAGAGCACCATAATCTCTAGGGCAAGAGGGAGGAGGGTGTGGGATGAGAACTAAAATGTGTCAGGTCCCTCCCTTGTGGCAAGCCTGTGGGGACTGTGTGCCTTTCTTCCAGCTAATTCTCAGCAATCTCACCAGAGAGACTGTCCCGTCTTACAGCTGAGGAGACCAGGGCTGAGACAGACAAGGTGGCTTGTTTCAAACTATACTAGCGGTTCCTGGAAGAGCCAGATCTGAGCACCTTCCACCACACCACAATGTGCTCTGAGGGAGCAGAAACCCACAATCCACATCAGGAACAAGCATACTAGATCAGAGGGCCTAGTGAGCCCTATAGGGGTGTCTTCTCTGACTCTCAATTTCCTCAGCAGTAAACTAGAGCTAATAACACTTCATCCACAAGGTTATTCTGAGGATTAAGTAAGATCACAGTGTGAACTGGCTGGCCAAGCCTACACTAAGCCAGGCTGGTTCCCCTCTTTGGCTTCCCTCTGAGAGCCCACACCGAGCTGGGAAGGCAGCTTCACTGGAAATAACCAAGCATTTTCCAGCCCCCCCAGCACATGAAAGATTACGGGGAACAAAATGAGAGAAAATTATATTCTTTTCACTCACCTAGCCAGAAAGCTTTGCTCTGCTTTGCTCAAGTAGATTGTAAAGCCAGTTAGCAAGGTGGCGAGCCCGTGCGCAAGCTGCAGCACAGACAGCCACCGTCCTGCAGCCTCAGAACATCAGTCCCAACCTTCAAGCTTCAGGCTTCGGCTCAGACACTGGCCTCACCGCCCACTCACCCAGTCTGAGGGACACCCTTAACTCCTCTTCTGGTGCATGCCCCAAGTCCACTCAGTCCTGTCATTCTTGCCCCATCTCCGGGGACAGGTCCCTCCCCTCCATCCATGCTGCACGGCCTCACTGGAAGTACTGAGCATCTCTCACCTGCATGCATTGCTACAGTCCCTTACAGTCCAACTGCTCCAGGCCCAGTTCCAGGCTCCTGGGTATCTCCCTCAAACAGCCCATCCCATCACCATCGTGCTGAAGAACATCCATCCTCTTTATGATGGCATCCCCTGCGCTGGCTCTCCTGCCACCCCAGGACACACCGTGCTCTTAAGCTCCATTCCCTTTCATGGGCTGCCTCCCCCACCCCATGGGAAGGCCTCTTACCCTTCTTTGTCTCTGTTCTTCTCCCAAGCAGCTCAAATGGCACCTCATTAGGAAGTCTTCACTCGACTCCCTTAGCAGAGAACTGCTGCATCCTGCTGGTCTTCACAGCATTTTGTTGACCACTCTTTACACTGTTACAATTAGCTGTATTGGTTTCTGTCTTCCCCACCAGACTGTGAAATCCTGGACAGCAAGAGCCATATTTTATTCATCTTTGTATCCCTAGTGCCAGACCCAGTAGATATGCTCAATAAATGTTTGTTGACTGACAGAGTGAATGAGGTCTCTGCTCCTTTTGTTGTGAATAAAGCTATATGTTATATAGGCAACACTCAATTTATCCCAAAATTACCTATCTTAAACCTTTCTCTCTTGCCCTGTATTAACTTATCTTTCTGAATGTTAGACCCTAGAAATAAACTTTTCATTTCTGTAGACTCCATGCTGATTGGCTGACTGACCCACTGACTTCCCAATGGGACAGAAACCGGCAGGCTCCACACACAGCTTCCTCAGCTACATGGATCTATTAGGTCTGCTTTGTCAGCAGAAATGGGAATATGGAAGAAGTTGCACCTGGCTTCATGGCTCACATCTGTTTTCTTGGATGTTCGGGATGCTGAGATGGTTAATAAGCAAATCAGCCTCAGTATTCAAATAGGCAGTTAATAAATCCTGAAAGAGATACAAATAAAAATCCCCTTGGAGATTTCCTGACTCTATGCAAAGGACTCTAGCCAGAGGACCAGTCACACTGTTCCAGGTTGTATACCCTGTTTAAATGACAGGAAGCACCATGTGTGTTTGGGCCTCCTGTCACAACCCAGCCTAGAGCAGCAAGCATACAAGATAGTGTAGGGCCAGCCCTCTGGACCTGGTAAGTCTACAAGCTCGGCTTTTAAAGGCTGCTGTGCCCTTGAATTTACATTTTCTTTCCTGGAGTTAGCCTCTTTCAAACAAGGACTCTGACCAGACTTTGGGAACACAGAGTAAAATGCCAGATCAAGGGAGAGGCTGACACTCAGCCAAGGTCATGATGCTATGCTGCCCATTTTCTTTCCTCCCAGGGGAAGCACAAGCAGGAGCAGTTATGGTCCCAGAGGGAGCTTCCCAGGAGATGGAGATGCTGGATACTAATGCCTCAAAGGAACAGAGCTTCTGCAAGTTCTCGGAGGACTACAAGCAAATCTACCTCTCCCTGACCTACAGTATCATCCTCGTGCTAGGGCTGCCCCTGAATGTCATGGTCTTGTGGCTCTCCTGGCGTCAAAGCAAGCGCTGGAGCTGTGCCACCATCTATCTGGTGAACCTGATGGTAGCTGACCTGCTTTATGTGCTGACGCTACCCTTTCTCATCATCACCTACTCCCTGGGTGACAGGTGGCCCTTCGGGGAGCTGCTGTGCAGGCTGGTGCGCTTCCTGTTCTACACCAACCTCTATGGCAGCATCCTGCTACTGACCTGCATCTCTGTGCACCGCTTCCTGGGCGTGTGCCACCCCCTGCGTTCACTGCCCTACCGGACCCGCTGGCATGCCTTCCTGGGCACTGCCACCACCTGGGCCCTGGTGGTCGTCCAGCTACTGCCCACACTGTTCTTCTCCCAAACAGACTACATCGACGGCCAGATGGTCTGCTACGACATGACAAGCCCTGAAAATTTTGATCGGTTTTTCACCTACGGCATGGTTCTAACGTTGTCTGGCTTTGTCTTTCCTTCTTTGGTCATCTTGGTGTGCTACTCGCTGATGGTGAAGAGACTGATCAAGCCAGGAGAGACCCTCATGAGGACAGGCAATGCAGCCCGGACCAAGTCCATCCGGACCATCTTGCTGGTGTGCGGCCTCTTCACCGTCTGCTTTGTGCCCTTCCACATCACACGCTCCCTCTACCTCACACTCCGCTACCTATCTTCAGAGGACTGCCAGCTCTTGATGGTGGCCAGCTTGGCCTATAAGCTATGGAGACCACTGGTGAGCATGAGCAGCTGCCTCAACCCAATCCTGTACTTTCTATCAGTGGGGAACAATGGAGTCAGGCTCTTTCAGGAACTCAGGCATAACAAGGTGGGTGAGCACCCAGCTGGAGCCAAGGGAGAGAGACCCAGGGGTGGGCAGATCTGGGTACTGACAAGATGAAGTTTGGAGACAATGAGCTCCAAGATGTTGACAATGACTGGTTTGAACATAGTCATGTGCTACTAGGAGGGGCTCAAGGTCTCCTAGTGGTGTCCTGCTACAAAGGATTTTATATTGATGTTAAGAAATTTTAAAGTAAGAATATGGAAACAGCCACCAACACAAAAGAAAACTTTTTTATTTTAATCAAAGCTGATATTTATCTCATCATTCAGGCCTCGGCTTAACTGTCACCTCCTCAAAAGCCATTTCTACCCACCCTAGTTAACAATGACCTCTCTCCTTACAACCCAGTCACTCTCTATTTCCCTAGCTATTGTCTTTTTAACACTTAGTACCTGAACTTGTTAATTTTAGTTATTTATAGTGTGTCTCTTCCCCCTAGAACTTAGGTTCCAATAGGACAGGGACCTCATCTGTTTGACTCCTGTACCCCTAACAGCAGTCTCCACAGCAGGGCCCAGCACACAGTTAAGTGCACAATAAATAGGAGTGGAATGAATAAGTAACAGATGGATGGATGGATGGATGGATGGATGGATGGATGGATGGATGCATGGATGGATGGATGGATAAGTGAATAAAGCCCTTACTATGTAAGAGCACTTTACATGAAGGGACTCATTTAATCCTCACAACAACCCTTGGAGGTGGGAGCTAATGTTAGCCCCATTTACAGATAAGAAAACTGAAGCACAGAGCTTTAAGTAACTTGTCCAAGGTCAGCCAGTTGGAGAATGCCCAGATCACAGTGCTAGATGGAAGCTTTGGACCCAGGCACTGACCTCTGAAGCATACACTCCTAAGACTGAAACATATATGGCCCAATCCAAACACTGGTCAAGAGCCAGCCAAGTTCTCCTCAATAACACCAGCTCATTGTTTTAGATCAGCTCACCTTTCACAGAATTGCTCTCATGGGCAGACCACTGGGGGTATACAGTAGGTGTTCTTTTCCTACACTTTTTACCCAGAGTTCTGATTAAGGTTAGAAAACGCTCTGCAGGATAAAGTGGGGAAAACAGGATAATGTGGCTGCATGAATGATGATTCACCTTATTCTTACTTGAACATAATGTCAGTTTATGACAGAAAAGTTTTACTACTATCTTTAATCATAATATGATGTTCATTCAAAAAAATAAAGATCCAAAGTAATCCAGAAAGATAACCTTAAAAACCTCTCATATTTGAACAATAATGATCTCCAAGGAGTTCTCAAATCTAAACATACATTATTTAATAATTCATTATAATCTCCCTATGAAGAGGTGGATAAGCCTTTTTAATAAAAACCAAAATGTAACCCCTCATTACTATCCTACTCTAATTACAGGAAGTGTCTGAGTAAGCCATGTAGATGTCTAAATTATAAAATTTTATTCTAAAAGTGCAGTTTATTGCTTTCAAGGGCACATAATAATTAGAACTAGACGAAGTGTTGCCTAGCAGAATTCCTTAGGATAATTAATTTAATGAATAGGCAAGGATGTTTTCTAATTAGCAGGTCAGCTGTTTCCACATAAGTGCTTCTGCTGCAGCTAAAAGAACTTACAACTGTTTGCTCTTTCGAACATTCTCTCAGTTCTCTTGCTTGTATTTTTCATTTTTGTCCCTTTCTTTGCATAGCAGCACACAGGGAAGAATCTGCTAGCCAACAGTCCCAATTATCACCCCTACAAATTAATATGGCTTACGTTAATGGAAAATTGGTGCACTAGGTTCCTCAATAAAAGCATAAAGCCACCCCATATTCCCCACTTAGTCCTTACCTCTAATGCACACCAGCCTGCCAACCCTGGAGGTGAGAAGAAAACTAATCTAAAATCCTCAGAATATATATCACCTTCATCTAAAAAGCAAGTGTTTTAACACCCCTGACCAAAGTTTTCCAGCCATTAGTCTTTCTTAACTTAGGTGCTTGCAATTATTTCTCTGATCCATATAATGCTAATTTTGCTCTGCAGACCTTCTGACCTACTTAACAGCAAAGTGTAAGCATCCATTTTTAACTTACTTCTGGATAGTTGGGATCAAAAAAGTTTAACTTAGTTGATATTAAATCCCTGTTTTCAGGGACAATTATATCAAGACAAAAATCTCAAGACAAGAATCTAAGTAGATTCTTCCCTTTGAAAACAGGACCACCTTGTAAGGGGAGCTGGGAACCCACTGCCCAACGTAAGTCAAGGGGATGTTCTTGAGTCCCTTGTGGTCATTGAAAACCCATCTATAGAAAGGGACAAGAAGACTAGAAGAAACGAAAGTTCCTCCTAGATCTACTCATTCAATGCCCACCACCCTGATAAAAGCTGGGACCTTCAAATGTGTTATTGCCCTGAGCCCCACGAATCTTGCATAATCTGCCTGCCTGTTTTGACAAGCTAAAACAAAACTGAAGGTCAGCAAATATTACCATGTTCAAAATACCATAACTGGGGCAGTAGCAGATACCAATATAATGGCTGTAGCCACCTACAAAAGGGTCAAGGATGTTACAGACTGTTGAAGAAACAAAACAAAAACATACAAACAACAACATGAATGCTAATTAAACAGTTTCTGCAGCTACAAAAGAAATGTCAGTTGTTGATTAATCAAAAATGAACAGTACAGGCAGTAAGTATTAGGGAAGTTTCATGAGCAGGGGTAAGAATACTACTGGCTGAGAGGCCATGAAAGGCATTATGAGCATGAGGAAGATTGGTGAAATTTCAAACAGCACAATTTCCCACGCAGGTTCAAGAAAACGGAAAATCTGTGTGAGAGCCAAATGTTGGTTCCTGAAGGGGAGGAGGTGGGCTAAAGTGTGATTGTGATTACAAAGGCCACCCCAAACCCAGCAAAGAACCACTCAAGGCACAGAGAATCTCCGAGGTCATTTGAGCAGAAGAGTGTATGATCAAAACTGTGGCTCAGGAACTTAATCTGGCAGCTCCCGTGTTTTGAATGAATTAAGGAAGAGGAACAAACTGTCACAGAAGACTTCTGTGAGGTCTCCTAATTCCTTCCCTTCAAAGCCAGCCTACACACTGCCTCCACATTTTCTTTACAAGAGCATTTTCCATACATCACACTCTCCCCAATTCTGTCCATGCCCCTCCTATACCCTCACTTCCACAGGACAAAGCCCAGACTTCCCATATGGGCGTACTACACCCATCAGAGTCTATTCCCAGCTTAACTTTTCGGCTCACAGCTCTCCTACCACTCCATGTGGATTTCTATCCCTCACATGTTTACAACTCAACACCTTGCCCAAAACCTTCTCCACATGCTTAAGTGCTCATCTTCCCAAGCCTTGGATTCTACTTCCTCCAGCTGCCTCCCATCTCACTCTGCACTGCTGACTCTCCCACTGGTTTATCACCTTGGAGTTAATGACGGGCTCCTTTATCATCCCAGGTCTGTTTTCTCTCCCCCACTACTCCCTTTTCCAGTCTATAGAACATGGCATGCTAGCAACATTCTGAACATAGTAGACACTCAGTAAGCAATGGTGACACTGATAATGAAGACGAAGGCAATCCACATTTAGAAGACCACTGCAGTGATCCAAGCACACAGATAATGGGCATGAGTAGAACTAAAAATATTTTAAAACATATTGGAAAGAATGAACAGAAATAAAATACTTATTTAGACAAGAGTGGTAAGGGAGACAGAACAAAAATGACTCTGAGACTCCAAGTCTGAGAAATCAAAAGAATGATAAACTAGCACCTAGCACATGGTAGGCACTCAGCAGTCATTGGGGAAAGAAAGAGAGGGAGGGAGGGTGTGCATTGTAGGGGAGAGTTCAGATTCAGACAAGTTAAATGTGAGTGTCCAGGGAGGCCTCAGCAGGAAATGCAGGATGGAGGTTCAGAGACAGCTTAGGCTCAGCTCTGAGTCTAGAGTTATCTGTCCAGCAAAGTATTCAAAGCTGCAGATGTAAATGGTACCTCTGAGAAAGGAGGAAAGAGAAAGAACAGAGGACCTAGGAGATACAGGAACCATAAAAATCCTGACAGGTAACACAGTGAGAGGAAATGGTACTGGATAATAGAGCACTGGAAAATCAAATGAGGGAACAGTTTGAAGAAAGAGGGTAATGAATCACGAGTGTCACATGAGGGCAACCTGGGTGGCTCAGTTGGTTAAGCGTGTGGCTCCGGCTCAGGTCGTGATCTCACAGTTCATGAGTTCGAGCCCTGCGTCGGGCTCTGTGCTGACAGCTCAGAGCCTGGAGCCTGCTTTGGATTCTGTGTCTCCCTCTCTCTCTGACCCTCACCAGCACACTCTGTCTCTCTCTCTCAAAAACAAATAAACATTAAAAAATTAAAAAAAAAATTTAAAAAGAAGAGTGTCACATGAAACAGACTAGTCAAAGAGAATGAACAGCTATCTCTTGGCAAATAACTCAATTGCCACCACTTCCAAGAAGCCTTCCCTGATCATGCATCAGAACATCTTTTCCCTTCTCTGACCCATTATCCACGCCACAAGCACATATCCCTTCTACCAAGCATGAGTGGCAATGTTTAAATCCTCTTACTTCCCCTGCCACAGGATGTAGCAAAGGCTTCAACATATGGGTACTCACTAAATCTTTGTAGAATGAACACAAAGCAAATGATTCTCCTGTGTATGCTTTTCTGGAATTACTGCCTAAATCCAATTTATGAATGTGTGCCTATAAAATTAAATCACAAGTTGCCTGGGATTTATTTGTTCTAACACTCACCAACTCCAATTCAAAGCAATTCCAGGATATACAATACCTGCAAGCATTCATACTTTGCAGCCCACATTTTAAAGACAATAAAGAGGGGAAATGTTTCACAAAGTTGTTTGCACTTAAACATAACTTAACCTAACCTTATAAAGTTATATATTCTCATTATCTTCTACTTTCTTGTAAACAAGCCAAATTCCTTTAGTATTTCAATTTCTCAACTTTTTGTTTTGTTGAGAGGTTTTGTTTTTTTTTTAATGTTATCAAACTTCAAA